CCGCAAATGCTCTGGCCGACATTCCTGCAACAATGGGCCTGGTCTCCGTTCGGCGCCAGGCCCAGGATGAGCTCAACACGCGGACTTTCTCGTCGGCGGTCGACCCGATCAACCACGACCATGATGAGGAGGAGAGAACCGTGGTCATGTTCCCGACGCCGCTCGAGATCAGGCCAGGGAGGATCGTTCTTTCTCCAGGTCCACGGCAAAGCTCACACCTCAGCTCTTTGCCGAGTTGACGGGGCCGGGGTCCTCGTTCGGATCGGGCCGCTCGGCACCTGCAGCAGCTCAGTCCTCGTCGGTCACAGTTCGCGAGGTCATCGAGGCGGACTCTGATGCCGGGGATCCCCACAATTTGCTCGGCCCCGTAGGAGAGCCGACCTCGTTCAGGCCGCACAGGACGCCGTAGACGCCCTGATCAGGCAGCCGGCGGCTGAGAACAGGTCACCAGTTTTGGCCAAAGGTGATCACCTTTTGCGCCCGTCGAGGCAGTTTAATTTGCTTTCGCGCTCGCTTTCTGGCAGCACCGACTTGACAGGTGCCGCCCGCTCGGGCCAAAAAAGTGGGAAGTGTTTGCGGCAGTTCAGCGGGAAGCAGTCCTGCTGTGCTCTCTTTCCCCTAACGGCAGTTTCTTGTGCATGTTCATGTCAACAGTCATGTCGTTCGTCGTTCGTTCGCCGTTCGGCCGGCCGGGAGGGTCTTTTCGAACACGACGACGACTGGTGCTCATGATGGTCTTTGTTCAATTCAACATCTCTTTTGCTTGTAAATCAGATCCCACCTCCGACTGCTTGCCAGTTCGGCTCGGCAGGATGTTGCGGGAAGCGGCTCCAGCCGATCGGTGGGCGGCGAAGATCCTTGCCTACCCGTGTTTTGATGGTGCCTTTCGCCAGGCGCTCGTGGCGACCCGTCTCGTGGAGCTGCCCTTTGTCTTGGCGATCGAAGTTGACTCGCCGGGTGAGTTCGCAGCGACGGCTCTATAGACTGGACTTCGCGCTCGACCAAGGAAGTCCACGAAGTGCTGGCGTTGAAGGTCCAGATGCTCGAGCAGTTTTGGATCTTCGTGAAGGCGGCCGAGTTTCTTTTCACAGAGTCGCTCGGCTACCAGATGGGTTTCGCTCGGTGCACAAAGGTTCCTCGCGAGCGGTCAGCTGAGTCGATCGCACACTTTCAGCGGGAGATGGCTGTGCGTGCTCTCGCTGCACCAGTTCTGTCTCCGCGCTCTAAAGTTCAGCTGCCCACTGGCTCTTCGTCCTCCGCGACCCCCCTGCTCGACATGGAGAACGCCGAAAAGCAAAAGTGGGCGAAGCGGCTGAAGGCAATCGTCGATCGAGCAGGCGACCATGCCGGCCACAATCGCGAGCCCGATGCTGGTGGGATCCTATCGGCTGAAGAGCGTGCTCGCCTACGGCTTCTGGTGTTCACCTCTGGGGCGCCCGCCACAATGGCGAACCATATCCGTCGCTTTGAGAAGTTCGAACTTTGAGCTCAAATGATGCAGCTCGCCTTCTACCCGATCACGGACGACCTTATCCTGAAATACGCCATGGAGCTCGACACCAGAGAATGCGGCCCAACAGTGGTGCCGTCCTTGAGGACAGCTCTTAAGTGGGTGGCTTTCCGCACTCACATCAAGATTCCTTCGGTCGAAACTCCCGAGATCAAGGCTCTCGAGAAGAAGATCTTCACTGAAAGAGGGAAACCTTTGAAAGAAGCGATCCCCTTCCCGATCGAGCTGGTTCAGGCGATGGAGCAGTTCGTGGTTAACCCTGCGTATGCCGCGCCAGCTCGGGTCTTCATCTGGTGGGTACTTTGCATGATCTTTGCGTCGCTCCGCTTTGACGACGCAATCCACGTAAAGCCCCACGAGATTGAGGTCCTGCCAGAGGGTCTTTTTGGGATCTCC